TCATTATCATCAGGGCGAACTCAGATATAACTACATCCACTACTCTGTCATGTCAATAAGGACTTAGCATAAATGTACATACTTCAAACACTTTCACCAATATATACAATTTTAGCCAAGAACAGTTGGTGCACTTCAAAACAAATTACACCCTCCGATTATTATTCTTATAAAGAAAACAAAGGGAATAGAGTATGAACTCAATCAAACTTAAGCAATCTATTTTCCAGCCACTTAACTTCTCCTTACTCCTAACATCCACCATTTATAGAAACTACACTTCCTATCAAGTCCAAACAACAAAGTAGGGTGAGCCAATCAATTTAAAATTTTGTGCGCGCACCCTTCTGAGGAACAGCATTTGAATCAAATCAGTATCATTAGGATAGATTCAATATTTTCAGTCAGTAGGAACAAAGTATCACTCCATTAACTGCTCCTTCGTGACAATTAGTGCAGACTTAGTACAAATATACACATTTCAAACCAACAACAACAAAAACAAACCCAGTGTAGACCAATAAGCAGGGTCTGCGGACGTAGAGTGTACGCAAGACCTTACCCCTACCTCGGAGGTAGAGAGGCTTTTTTAGAAGACACTCGGCTTAAGTAACAAACATTAGAGCAGCTAAAAGAAAAATACATATATAAATCAGACATAGCAAATAATAGGAAAAATATAACATAGCATTCAAAACAGGAGCAATGACAATAACCAACTAATATGATAATTGAAGCATAGTAAATAACAAGGAGTAACAAAAGTCATAACACAGGCAACTACAAGAAAAATGCTACTAGTACTGTCTACTGCTATAAGCAAGGAAATAGGTACAATGCACCAAACTACCACCAATCCTATCGCCCTAGGAAATGAGACAACATTCAACTACCTACTAACCTTAGACAAAGTTCAACTACCTAATAACCTTTTATCCTAATCCGCGACCTTCATAACCACTTATCTAAGGTCATGTCCTCGAAAAGCAGAAGCTGCACCAAATATAGTTTTTCAAACAAGTTACATCCTTTCAAAGTAAACAACAGGAAGAATCAGAGTACTAACCATCTTGAGTCATAAGGGGATAATCAGAGGCACTAAGATTAATAAACCAATCCCAACTCTTAGGCAGCTTCAACAGAATAGCAATGGAATGTAACATAGAAGCCAACATAGTAGGCCCTTTATAAGTAACCAGATCTGATTTTCCCACAACCTTAACATTCCCAAAATCCCTAAACACAAATTCCGACTTAACATACTTAGCCAACTCCAATCTCTCACTATCCAAACTCTCCAAATCAAGATGCAACAGATAATAATTCCTCGGATGATACACTGCCTGAAGCAGCCTTTTCATCTTTACTCCATCATTTTTAGTACCCGAAATCAAGTAAGCTAATCGAGGCAACTCAGGCAAGATTTCATCAAAAAGAACTGATTTTGAATGTGGGGTTGATGATTTAGGCTTAAATGAGGAAGTGGGGTTGGTTAAAATTAGTGCAAGAAGGAGTATAACAGCAAAGATTGTGAATACAATAATGGGTGTTGACCATTTTTTCTGATGAATGAATCTAATGTGAGCTCTTTTCATTGATTCTTTGGATGAAAAAAAGTTAATTTTTGGGTTCTTGATTCTGTGTTACTGTTGAGGATTTGTGTTAAGCTTAGATTTGAAGAATTTGAAGGGGGAAATGCAGGCTAAAGATGGAGGTTGGATAGTGACTGGGATTTTGCTCAAGAGGGGAAGAAATTGACATGTTGTCTGTCACCAATATCTTCCAGGTTTTTATTAGTAAAGGAAAAAAATCTCGTTCCGATTTACTTGTTAAATTTTGACTTGATATAGAATAATAATTGGTATAGTAAATTTATCATTTTAATATTTTCTTTGTCCAATAATACTTGATTTCATAAGTAGACAAATATAATTAGACATCTAAAATAGTATAGTGGACAACTATTGTTCCAACTTTATTTGTTAGTATACTATTTTGAGATATTCAACAATTCTTATTCAATTTTAAAATTCAATGAATAATTTATCATTTTGTATCTATTTTATCCTTGTTATTAATACTATTCATTTTTCAATGTTTAGATGACTTAGAATAATGGTGGTTTGCTAAAATTATCAATATCATTTACTGCTTCTTAATTCATGTGTTGGTTAATAGTGGATAACTATTATTGGACAGAGAAAGTATAAAGTGTGAATTTTCTACCAATTTCTCATTGAACTAACTTATTACGAAAACAGATGGTGGAAAACAAATTCTCACTAAAGTTTTCTAATTTTTCTATGTAAAAATATTACGTCCTTCGTCCCTGTTTACTTATCAAATATTTTCTAATTTGATGTCCTATTTTACTTGTTATTTTTTATAAATCAAGAAAGGATAATTTATTTTTTTCTATTATACTCAATTTATTAACATTGAGTTAATGCCTTTAAAAAATGTAATGAGTAAATATAGTTGTGATCCTATCAATAATAGGGATAAAATGATATTGTTGAAATTGTACACATAATTTAAGGACGTGTGAGTTAAATGATTAGATTATACTTCCTTCGTTTCATATTAGTTGATCATTATAGTAAAAAATAGTGGTCTCATATTTGTTCTCCACCTTACTAAATCAAGAAAGCATTAATTAAAATTTTCATCTATTACCTTTGTAATTAAATTTTTTTGAATCACATTTGTTTATATAATTTTCAAGAAATTTTTAAATGGATAAATTAGTAAAATTATCTTTTATTTATAATTTTTTAAGTACAATACAAAATAAAAATAATCAACTAATATGAGACAAATGAAATAATACACGAGCTTGTGAAAAACAAGCAGTAAATTAGATAATCAAACGATATGAATTAAAATATACAATTGTGTATTTATGAACTTGATAGTTTAGCAGCTTAGAGATTCCATACCAAACTCGATTGACTTTTCTAAAACAACTTCATACCTAACTTATTATTTTTACCTGAATAGATATGATATGGTATATATCGAATTATCATATTATATCAAAGATCTTAATATTGTGATTTTGATATTATGGTATTTGGTGTGGTATACGGTATACATTATTTTTTTTTGTATTTGATACGATATTTGGTATTTAGAAATAATATACCGAAATATTGAATATCATATCGAAATATATAGTTACATAAATAACATATATATATTCTTAAAATACTAATAAATATGCAACCTATTATTAGTATAAACTAAATGTTTAGAGGTTTAAACTTGAATACTCTGTTTTGATTGAAATGTATTTGAAATGTAATTGATTAACAAAATAGTTGTTTTTATTTTATTTTGAATATATATTTCCATATGTGTAATGTGTTAGTATGATATAATTGAGACCTTTTTTTAATTGTTGAAGTCGTAATACTCTATTATGCGAGTATATAACAGTCGAAGTTGAACAAACTATGGTTACCGATTTACCATACCGTAGAATACCAAAACCAAACTCCAATACACCGAATTAAATTGATATGATAATGATATAATATTTTAAAACCCGAATACCAAAATTACGATATCAAAACTTTCAAGTATTGTACCATACGATACCATACCATGTCCACCCCTACTTTTACTTTTACCACATGTATGAGTCATTCACCCAATCAAATATTGTATCGTACTGTATCATATCATACCATGCCCACCTCTACTTATGAACTTATAATCTTTATTTTTAACGGGGAAGTGTCATTTTTTGTGATTTTTTAAAATACTTGTTTACCTATAAAAATGTTGTCAAAATAAATTTATCACTCAAACGTGAAAAATATTACTTTTGAATGCATCTTGTTTGCTCCTTCCCTTTCATAATAAATTGTGTTCTTAGTATTTTTTTTGTTTTTTATTCAATATAAGTGATCTCTCACAAAATTAAGAAGGTATTGAATATTTTTTTTCTCTTCCAATATTATTCTTACATTAATAAATAGATTTTTATATAATAAAAATGATTAAAGAGCTATTTCTTTTTTAAAGATATTGATTAATAATAACTTACTAAAATTTTATTTACTTTTTTAGGAGTCAATAATTTTCTTACGAAATACATTCAAATTCAAATTAAAAATATCACTTATTATGAAACGAACGGAATAATAGTTTGAAGTTCGTTGGACTATGGAAAGAAGCAAACTTCAAAATGAATTTGGATTTGGCACATTGTCACTTCACCGTGATGGACCTCACCTCTTTTATTTTTTTTAATTATTATTATTTCTCTTTGATTTATTTGGACTATAATTGAATACCCCACTTTATTAATTTGACAATTATACAAGTACTAATTTATTTCGATTTCACAATTTTTAATTTTTTTTTACTAGACATGAATTCTAAGATTAATAGCTAAATAATCGATTTGTTAAGTTGATAAAATTTGGTTATTTGATGCATTAACTCAAATTGCAACAAAGTATGTTAGTAATTACTTATCCTTCTTTAATTAGTATTTAAAATTTACTTATCTAATTAATTAAAATTTGTCTTGTATAATATCGATAAATGGAAATTGAACTAGTGATAGCTTATTACATGAATTTTTTTTTGTTTGAAGTGATAAGTGCACTTTCTCCTTAAAAGTAATTCACTTTATTCTGATATTATTTGGTTGAACAATTTAAATTTCTAGGAATATATATTTATTTTCTTTAATAAGAAGTCTCAAGTTCTAACAATTCATATAAAATCATGAGAGAGTGCTTCCTTCTAAGGCTATGAAAATCAAAAAAAATATTTCACTTTAAAGTTAATTGAATCCAAATACAAATATAATTTTTTTTAAAAGGCATAATATATAAATGTGTCTTTAACATATATTTATGTCCTTCAATTTAGGTATGCACATGTAAATAACACTCAATTCAAAATAAATATGTAAATAATCTAATTCTTCACATATATATATATACATGAATCGAAATCGAAAATAATAAATTCAGTTGAACATCCGAACAAAATGTAAAAATGCATTACAACAATCAAACTAACGCAGCAGCATCCGGCAAACCGTGCCGGAAATCATCATCGAAGTTAACCGCCTGCCGTTTAGGCCGTTTAACGGTAACGGCAGCACGGCAAACAGGACAACTTGATTTAGAACAAAGCCATTTATCAATACAAGAAAAATGAAAAATATGTTTACACGTCATCAATTGTCTAACTTCTTCTCCGTCAACAAACGCCGTCAAACACACCGGACACTCATTACCGGAATCTTCCTCCTTCTCCGGCGAAGTTTTTTTTTCATACTTTACAGTCGATAACATATCCGTATGATGTGTAATAATTCCGGTGGTCGACTCACCGGAATTTTCGCCGGAGCTTCGCCGGAAAACGTTATCCGGGTGTTTCATAGCGTAGATGAAAGCGTATACAATAGTAGGTATGATTATAAGTATGATCAGAGAGACAATTGCAAATAAAGGGGACATGTCGGAGCTCCGGTGAATACGCCGGCGCCGGTGAAGGGAGAGGTTTTTGAAATTTTAGTGGTAGAGGAATTGGGCAAAGATATTAATTGATTATGTATTATTAAGTATAGTTGCCATTTAAAAAAATAATAATTTTGTTTGATTTTGGGAATTTAAGACAAGTGTACAATGCATTATAAGAATATTATATTTTAAAAATAGTTGTTGTTTTTTTGGAATTATTGAGATATTAATGAGGATTATTAAAAGGGTAAAAATAAACGACAAAATAGAGTAAACATCATACTTGAGATAAGATGAACATTTTCTTAAATATATATAATATTGTTTCAATGTATTTATCTGACTTTAACTTGACATGAAAGTTAAGAATAAATAAAGATAGATTTAATTTTATGATTTTAAAATTAATAATATGTGGGATGTATCAAAAAAATAATATTCATCTTGTAATTTTTAAATATGTCAAGAATCGGAATTTGAAGACTTTGAGTGCACCAATCTAAACTTGAAACAAAAACAACAGAATATGGCTTTAGCTGAGTTTGAACCTTGGTTTCAGGGTGGTACCTTCGGCTTAATATACCAGCGAGTAGAGACACAAGGCTCTACTACTTTACTCCTCATGATTGCACTATTAATTATATTTCAGTTTCTGCTAGTTTTTCAAGATTGATATACATATTTACATATGATTTTTTTCTGAATTTAACGAGTGCAGCACACCTACAACTTTGCATGTGCATCCGCCATTGTCTAGAAAGTTAAAACTAAAGAATGGTTAGAAAAGAAAATAAATATCTTTTTAAAACATACTAAAAAAAGAAGTAGGATAAACAAATAAAATAAAGACGTGACAAATATTTTTTAAGATTACTTCCAAAGTTTCAATTTATATGATAACGTTTGAATTTCAAGAATTAAAACTTTTTAGTTTTGACCATAGTTTGAATATGAAAATTTATTTAATTATCGGAGTTTGAAAAGTATCATGTAAATTAAGACGGATAAGTTATCAATTATTGAGACACTGAAATGTTAAAAAAAAATCACAATTCGGTTGGGAGTTCGATATACTTACTGATTTTATGGCATTATTTTAATTATGATTTCTTAAAACAATTGTGTTTGATGATGCTTTGGTTTATACATGGAGATGAAATGTTGAAATAATTTTTTAAATTATATATGCCTTGATGATACAAAAATCTTTACAATATCAGTGAAATTTAATATGTGATAATTACTTTTTTATTATTTTTATAAAGTTACTATATATATATATATATATACCTTATAAGCGATTTTGTTGCAGTTTTATAAATATATTTTTACATGTTAGTGCATAAAATTTTATAAGTACTCCACTAACTCACTTAATTTCCTATATTTAACTAAGCATTTGCTAATAATTTTTTAAATATTTTTTACAAAATAATATTTGAGTAAAGTTTGGATTGAAGTTTCAACGTGTGTTTGACTTTAGTTTTTGAAAATATAGTTCACTTTTTTAATAAAAAAAACACAAAGCATGATTCATATCCATAAATTTGACCTAAAATTATCATTTTTTTAAATAATAAACTTAGATAATACAGTATCCAAAAATCATAACATGATATTTTAAAAAAAAACGGTTAATAACATAATTACTAACTACTATAATTTATCAAATTACAATTCGTTCAGAAGATCCATCAATCTGAGTAATCTCATAAAAGGTATTGGGCTTGGAGTTTGTGGACCATATAAATGGTCATTTGGATCTTTTCTATTAGTCCCATATAGGAAATACAAAGATGTATACAAACCAAAACGCACGTAAACATGCGTATATACATGCTCATTCTGAATTCACAGACTCTAAATTATGAATTTGTCTATGGGACTCCGACAACAAACCTATTAAACGTTGATGCGGAGGAGCCAATAACGTAGTATCCGCACGACAAAGCGGGCAATTTCGATGAGAATGTAACCACACATTTATGCATGGTACATGAAAGATATGCATACATTGAGATAATACCCTAACTTCATCGCCTTCCAAAAATTCACCTAAACATATAGAACACATATCTTCTTTAGTATCTTTGTTGTATCTCGATAAAACAATCAATTGCACCATTGAATTACTCGTGCTCGTGCTACTAGACGTCTCTTGCTGAGCTCTAGTACGAGAACGATTTTGACTTTGACTTACTGGGATAGTCGTGTTTTGCTCTGGAGGATCAGATGAAGTATTTTTACACCATGATACTATTATAAAATGTATAATAACGACGATTATAGCACCAGCTATGATACCAAGAAGGCCAACTATAACAGGGTTGATTTCAAGTCCTATATGATGATGTTGTTCTTCTCCCATAGTTGAAGGATGATTAATTTGATCAATAAAATTTTGATTTTATTATGATAACCATAGTTGGAATGTTTAATTTGTAAGTCAAGTAAGGCTTGAGATTTTGAGTACTTATTATATTTGTTAATATATATACAAGTTCTTACTTGGAATTTTAATTTGTTATATTTGTTAGTATATATTATGTATAGCGTTAGAGGCACGTTCTAGTTACCATATAATAGTATATAACTTGGACTCAAAAGGACTATTATTTTGGAGCAAAATGATCATTTGAATTTGCATTACTTAGTACAATTGTCTTTTGTTTTTTTGTTTCCCATTAGACATCTGATTTGGAATTTGACTAATTGGTATTCGTGTGGAGATTTGAGAAGTTCTAATTTGAAAGTAAATCGCTTACTACTAAAGTCGTTTGCTTTTGCCTTGTTCTATTTTGAAAGTAAATTGCAAGGCATAAGTTGTGAATTAGATACTATATAATTTATATCGGACAAGATAGAAGTTTTCTAAATTTATGACTTGCGAAATTAAGTCATAGTAAGAGTACTTTAGCGTACAATTTTTTTATTAAATGAGCAGTCATGCAAACATTTAAAAAATATACAACTGCAACCTCCATAGCAAATGCAACTATAGCTATGGAGTACAATTATTGAAATTATAGCTATAGAGTCTTATTATATTTATTATGTTTGTTATTTCTAATATTTTCTCTATATTTTTTTTATTATTCTTATACACTCTCCCGAGCGATCCTTTTAATACAATAGTCATACTAGTTACTTAATACTTATCTTTACATTGTTCACAAGTAATATCACATCCGCAAACAAATCTTGAGTCAATTGTTTTAAAATGTATTAAAGCAACTTAGGTCCTAATTTAAATCAAATTAATACAGATAACCAATTTGCTATATTAAATATTTTTAAAATCAAAATAAAGGAACCACCCTCCCCAACAAAAAAAAGTAATGATTCATGTTTCCACAAATTCATTTTGCTTGCATTCCAAACAACATTTATTTGATCTTAATAATTAATATATATTATTACTTCTTTCTTTAAAAATATGAACTCATTATTAGATGAGTATTTGTACCAAAAGTTTAAGTGGAAAATAATTGAATTTATAAGATAAATATTTTGACATATAAGTAGTGATGAGAATTATAATCAATAATTGATATGAAATGAATTGACATTTTGACATTTCTCTCCACTTGTTCCTTCTTTGTTTTTAATTAAAATTGATATTTACTCTATTTCCTTTTACTTGTCTAGTTTACATTTCAGCTTACAAACAATATTAATTAATATATTATTTTACTAAAAAAAAAGTTAATAATACTTTGAAAATCCAAATTTGATTATTACTAATTCAGTTAATGGACAATGATTATCTAATTAAAAAGGGAGCAATTCATAATTTGCTAAAGTGAATAAGTAGCTTTTATTGAACTCCAATTTGGTTGCTGGATAGAATTATGCATGTAGTATTAATGTAGAGATTAGTTATGTAGGGAAAAAAATTATAAAGTTTAATTATTCATTATATTAATTATTTTATTTTTTATATTGCATAAAATAATATATAAATTGATTCATAACTTATACATATTTTATTTATGAAAGATTGTAAAATGATAATCAAACACAGTACAATTTCCCTTAATTATTGCAATTAAAAGCACAAGGACAATCAGTCATATCACTTATCTTAATTTTGTTCCCTTTTTCATTCTAATTAATTTAATTAAGTGAATCATGCATTATCATACTTTGCCTGTCTTTAATTTGTCTTTGATTATAATGTTATTTAATCATTAAAAAAAATTGTCATTTAGCTCCCTAGAAGGTGATAGTCCTAATAAGGATGCACATCTTATAACATTTATTTTCTATAAAAAAACAAAAAAAGTTTTTCTAAGATGTTTCATTTTAAGAGTCAGAAATAAAAAAAACCTCAGTGCTTTCTGACGTTTTAGATTTTCTCTTTTAAAATAATTTATTTTCATATTGGGTAGGTAAAAAAGAAATGAATCTCAACTCAAGAATTGTTCAAATTCATATAAGAAAATATATTATTATTATTATTTTTTATTCAACGTGATACTCTTCAGTACTCTGTTTCACATTCAAGATTGGATATCCAGTGCATGAGTAATTTAATCTAAAGGTTCGTTCATCAATAAACATTGATTACAATAGGTTCTGCTCTGAAATCGTGTAAAGAAATAAATCTTGAACCTAACTCAATCCTAAAAGTTAATTTATTCAAGAAAAAATTTATATATAGTTTATGGAACACCTGAACGTATAATTATTCTATATAACTAGATATTTTATATACATATTTTCTAAAACTGATCTAATGTTACTTGGGTTGATATACACACTATATAAAAAATTGATAATGCGCTTAGATTAAAGGCTCAATTATTGCAAAATCCAATGCTCACTTATTATATTTGATCAATAAATCTCCATCTATAACTATTGTGTACAAAACTTTTTTTTGTTTTTGCTCTTAGGACAAGATTTGATCGAATCTCGTTCCTATACATTATTATTTTTTGATTTATTATGATGTATGTTATTTCTATCTCTAAAATATATGATTAAAATGTGCATGTACATTATATCAATTTCGATTTCGTGAAATTATAATGAATATATATTTTTGTTATTTTAATTGTATGCTAGTTAAATTATGATTCCTAAT